GGCAAGCTAGGCCAGGCCGGCACAAAACAAGGCTTGGGAAAATAGAAAGCGATCGTGCAAACAAAGGGCCAGAGCAGTAGTAAGGTAGCAACAAACGCAGGAAGCAGCAGGTTAGGGCCAGGCCGAAAGCAAGGCCAGGAAGCCAGCTTAGTAGTAGCAACCAAAGGCAGGAAGTCGGCAAGCCAAGTAAGCCAGCCAAGGCAGGCCGCAGCCGGAAGCAGGTTAGGGTTCAGTAAAACGGGCCCAACCCAAAGGCCCAAGGCAGCAGCAGTTTAGCCAGGCAGGCCACACAGGGGGCCAGGCAGTAGAGGTGACATGGCCAAAACAGCCAGGGAGCAAGCTAGTAGTTAGCAACAGCCAGGGAAAGCAGCAGTAAAGGGCCAAAAAGGCAAGGAGCAGCGCGCACAAAGGGGCAAAACCAAGATTGGCGCCAAGGCAAGGCAAACAAGTTCGTAAGCAGCAGCAAGGCAAGAACAGCTTGCCGCAAAACCAGTAGCAAAGCAGGCCAAAGCAAACAACGCCGCACACAGTTAAGCAAGGCAAAAGGGGAATATTTTGAAAAACCCATTTAGGCAAGAACTTTTACCTCTCTTAGGGCATGTATTCTTCTTTGGCATTTAAAAAAAAAAAAACCCACTACGGGAATACTCCGCCCACCCTCTTTCAGGCAAGTTTTTTTTGACATTTTTAAAAAGGGCTGCAGAACACGCCCAAGCAAAAAAACGGGACCACTCATTCAAGTAAACGCAGGATTAATACGAGTAAGGGCGGGGGGCGGACAAAAAGTAAGTATTTTACTAATATGTTGGGGAAATTCTCCATTTTCTTCTCTATTGCGAATATGGGACAAGGTTTTCAATTACGCCGCTTATTATGTTAAATTTTCCCGACACCGCTCCACCCAGTCGAAGCCGCGGAGGTCGTTTTTTCTTCTCATGCCCGGCAAGTTGCTCCTCGGGGGAAAGTAGTTCCGAGGGTGCGGCTTAGCCGCAGGTTTGGTGGTTTTACACTGGTTCCCCCACAGCACGACGCTTCTTGCTTGCGTGGCGGTCCAGGACCGCGTCGGCCGCACCGCCATCTCACCCCTCCATGGGGCCAAGCTTTTCAGGGCACGGGAACCATGCGAGGGAATCCACCTCCATCACCCCTTACCCCACGTGGGGGGGACCCCCAACAAGAGGCAGCGGCGTCAATACGGACACCCCACGGGAATTTCTTCACGCTAAACCATTAACAAAAATTCGTTCTCCAGTCTAATAACAAAATGCGCCCGCGATTGTTTTAAACGTGTCGTTTTCGGTATACGTTAAAAGTAAATCTAAAAAAAAACCTCTATTTTTGCTTTGCGTATTTAAAGCGGGCAATATTTATGCTATCAAATTTAATAGTATTTTACCCAAATTTGCCTAACCTTACGAGTTATTTTCCCCAATTGCTTCAAAAATCCACGTTGAGAAAGAACAATGTTTATTTTTTTTTTTTTCAACATACTGGCGCAATTAAGGGACACTCATTATATGCAACAAATTACGTTGCCCAATGAAAAATTCATGCATTCCCTTCCCAATTGGCCTTCAATTTATTTTTTTACACAGGTTGGTCTTGTGGGGATTAAACAGATTAGAAGGAGGCGTTAACCTGCGGGCAAAAAAAGGACTATGGCGCTAAAAGCGGCAGGCTACAAGCGGCGGTGAGGGATTAACCCTGCAGCGGTGGAGGATTCGCGACGGTCAGTTTCCGGCATGCTGGCCCAGCGCGGCGGGTTTTTGGGCCCTGCCCAGGCCGGACCTCTTTGCCGGGGGGCGGCGCCCGGCGCCGTCGTGGCCTTGAGATGACACGGGCAGCGGTAGGGGCCGGCGGGGACCAACGGGGCCACAGCCGCACGGCGCGGGCTGGGAGTACGGGGGAAAGGGCATCGGGGACACGCGTCGAATGTAGTCTCTTACCGGAAACTGCGGCGAGGTCTTTACGCGGGATGGCCCAGGGCTTGGCTGCGCCCAAACGGCAATTGAAAGGCCCATTCGCTCAAGCAACTGTTTGCCCCCCCCAACGCCGCGCGTTTGTTGCGTTAAAATACGGGACAAAAACGACGCCCACGCGGCAAGACATTGCGGAATCCCCAGTTAAAATTTAGTTTTTTTGTTGTTAATGGGAATATTTTTTACACCCACGTCAACATCTTTGCATCAATTTAATAAGGTTTTTTACTAAACCGAAAAAGAGGGTTGTTAAGGGTCGCGCAAAGTCATGACCTTTTTTTCATTCTTAATACCGGTAAAATCGACATTTGTATATAATTTATATTATATATATTATTATATATTATATAATATTACTATCATATAATATATATAACTATAATATTCTTATTAAAAAAGAGGAAGAAGCAGAGAGAGGAGATAAAAAAATTTTTTATATAAATATATTATATTTACTATATTATAAATATATAGCAGCGGAAGGAGAAGACGAGAAGAAGAGGAGAGAGGAGGAGAAAGAGCGAGGAATTAAACAAAATTAACTTTATGTTATAATAATATATGAAAAGCGGGAAAATATTATTCAACATTCACCATAACACCTTAGTGAACTATTAAAGGGAAATTATTAGTATAGACCCAAACAAATAACACTAAAATCTGGGGACCACTATTAAGGGGCATTTATCATCATTAAAACAAACTGAACACTATCTGCTGACTTACCTCTATCTAGTATTCTACCCCTCTGACACCCATATCCATTCAGACATTGTCACCTGTGCGGCTCTGCAAAGTAAATTGCATGCTGCATTATGTGAGACTAATGTCATCTATTGCAGCTGCATGCACGCACACCGCCATTTTGTCAACGGTCATACACCAATTCATAATACTGTGAGTCCGTGAGTACGCGAAGACACTTCTCTTTTCGAAACTGTATGTCCGTGAATCCCACAATTGCTCATCTCTTATAACCAAACCGCAGCACTACAACGGCTGCGGGGCTCGGCCCATGTGCAGCACAAGAACATGGCTTCAAACTACCAGCCGTGAGACTGCTGAGCAGCAGCCCTTACTGTTGACGATGCGCTGGGCATGCATTGAAGTAGACTCGCTCGCCGGCAACAGCCTACGGCCACATGTACGCGCACACTCGCGTCAGGTCAATGCTAACTCGCGCACTGCAAGCGCCTGCCAAAAAAAATAGGCATCGTTATAGATAAAAAATACATGTATAGGTAAAAGTTGTAAGATGATGAGAACGTTATAGCATCTAACAGTGTAGGTCACTTATTACCTCCGCCAGCGGGCTTTGCGCGGAGGTTATGTTTTCACCCGCGCGTTATGCTTGACTTTTGTTTAGGTTTGTGGGTTTGCTGCAGGTTTTGTGTAACAGCCTAACTGCAAAAAAGCTTATGGACGGATTGCTCATAAAATGTTTTTAGACCTAAGTTCAGAAAATGCGGCTAACTTAGAATTGCATACATTTCCGCGTCGGTGATCCGGATCCAATTTAATAATTAATAAAAATTTCAGGATAGGTCAGAAATGGCCGTAACTTTAGATGATTGCATGACATTTTTGGTGGTGAGTCCGGCACTCCCAATTAATGCTAATAAAAAATTTTCACAGATGAGAGAATTGAGCTTGCCCTGCTCGGCCAGCGCTCTGCCGCTCTCGAGTGCATCGTGTTATTATCTACATCTCATATGTATGACTACTTATTGCCCATATACAGCTGTATATCATTATTTGCTACTATTTTAAATATTATTATCTATTAGGAGCCAGAAGCCGGTCCGCCTCAGGGTCCAGAAGGGAGCATTTCAACGATGAATCTAGGTGTGTTAAATCAAACAGAAAGTAAACGAGGCAGAAAGGTAACACTCGCCGTGAGGTGCAGCTTGCCAAAAACACACAGCAGTGCCCCTCCACCATCGACTCTCAGCTATCTCTCCCCTCACCCTGGTTTCCACCAGGGTTCCCCCCTTCTTCCCCGGCACCGCCACCCGGGCCCTCGCCACACCGCACCCTCCCTCCCCGGCTCTCCCTCCCCCCCCTTCTACCATTAGTACTATACCAGCGCCCCGCCTACACTCACCTGCCGCTACCCCCCCCCTTCCCCCTTCTACCTAGTCAATATACCAGGCCTGCCGCTACAACCTCACCTGCCGGCTGGCCCGCCGCTGGTAGCTGCGGCACCTGGTAGGCCCCCCCCCTCCCATCCTGCTCTACCTAGTTATACCAGACTGCGCCTACACTCACCTTGCGCATGGCGCCGCTGCCGTAGCTGCCCTAGCACCTGGCGTAGAGCCCCCCCCCCTCCCACTCCTGTCCTTACCTAGTCATTATACCAGCGCCCCCTTACACTTCAACCTGGCCATCGCGGGCTGCGCGTAGCTCGCTGCCAGCACCCGGTAGCCCCCCCTCCCCCCTTCTATACCTAGTTATACCAGACTGCCCGCCTACACTCACCTGGGCCGCGGGCTCGTAGCGGCTGCAGCCCACCTCGGTAGCCCCCCCCTTCCCCCCTCACTCTACCCCTAGTTATACCAGACCGCGCTGAACACTCACCGTGCGCCCTGGCCGGCGTGGTAGCTGCCCTGAGCACCTCTCGCGCTAGCGCCCCCCCCCCTCCCATCCTTCTACCTAAGTTATACCAGCCTGCGCTCCACTCACCTGGTTAGCCCCCCCCCTCGCCCCCTTCTACCTAGTTCTATACCAGTACCGCCCGCTAATACCTGGGCTGGGGCTGGTAGCTGCTGAGCACCTGGTAGCCCCCCCCCCCTCCCTTCCCCTTCTACCTAGTTATACCAGGCTGCGCTACACTCACCTGGCCTGGGGCTGGTAGCTGCTGAGCACCTGGTAGCCCCCCCCCCATCCTTCTACCTAGTTATACCCAGCGCTGCGCTACAACTCACCTGGGCCTGGGGCCTGCGGTAGGCTGCCCTGCAGCACCTGCTAGCCCCCCCTCTCCCCTTCTACCTAGTTATACCAGGCTGCCGCCTACCGACTCACCTCGCCTGGGCGCTGCCCGGGGCTGGTAGCTGCTGAGCACCTGGTAGGCGCGCACAAGGTCCAGCTTGCCGTGACCTTGCTCGAACATGTTGATGCCGGGCAAGCGACGCGCCGACGCCATCAGCGCTTGCTTCATGCTCGCCGGGTTGACGACGCCCGCGGCGCGGCGCCCAGCCACCGCGCTGTACAGTAGCGCCACCACGCCGGCGACGACGGGCGACGCTACGCTGGTGCCGGACAGCGAGCGGCAGCCGCCCCTGCGGAGCAAAGACAGGAAAACAATAGAGCAGACGACGGGCGACGCAACGCTCGTGCCGAACAGCGAGCGGCAGCCGCCCCTGCGGAGCGAAGATGAGTGTCGTAACGGCGCAGACGCAAAGACAATAGAGCAGACGTGCGGCGCAGTTACGGATCAACAGCCAGTCGTACTGTTCGTAGTGAGACTCACAGCAAGAGCGAAACACGGCTTCATTGTGCTTCTGAAGTTGTGAGGGCCGAATTATTGCGTAGGGTGTAGGTGAAAGTCGACGTCTAATGCTACACGGCTATGATGCGTACGTGTATGTAACGTGTTTGTACATGTACGTTGGTTTCGCACGCACGTTACTGTACTGCATCCCTCCATTAGAGTGTTAGAGTAATATCTGTGTTTATCTTCCACTAACCCCACCCAGAAATGCTTAATGGCAGTCCCACTTAAGGCACACCCACACCAAGGCACTTCCAGGCCCTGCCATAGCGGATGCCGGGAGCACTGACAGGTGGCGGCACCTGGTGGCGGTACTTACTGCGTGTTGGAGCCTCGGACGGCCGACCCATAGGTGACGATGTCTGGCTTCAGTCGTCCGTATCCGCCCGGCAACTCCTGCAGCATCCCACCAGAGAATGAAAGCAGACGACGTGTTACCACAACGACGACGACGATGAGCACAGATGCGAGGGCATTACTATTTGGGTTTACTAGCGAGTCATCACTTATGATGAGTGCGAGACCAGCAGGGTTGTTGTTTAGCTCCAATAAATAATCGTGCATTGAAAGACCTCTTGCGTACAGACATAGTCTCACAGCCGCCTCATGCTAGGGCACCACTACTGACAGTACTAGTGTGGTAGACACTGTGGCGTAGTAGTGTGTTTGGGAGGGGGGAGGTGCCGTAGTAGTGTGTTTGGGAGGGGGAGGTGGCATAGTAGTGGGTTTGGGAGGGGG